CATTTTCATGCCTTGAAGGTTGCTGAACAATCGTAGAAAACAAAAAAAAACATTATTCAATTAATTCAACTTCATGAAAGCGCTGAAGAAAGTCACAAGCACAAATATGTACCACAGTACGAGGTAAGTGCAAATATAACCAATTAAGATAACGAATTATTATTATTATTTCATTTTATTTGGTGTTGTGATGTTATTAATTAACGTTCGTCGCTCAATTATTTGGATGCTGCTGCTATGATTATAACGGTGAGCACACTGACATCCCAGGCGTGTGCTTCTGTCTCCTGGCGCGACAGTTCAAACCCCCACGGCGCTATGCATCCAGCGGTAAACATGCACACCAGAGTCGCTCGGCTAGTCGCGTGTTGGTGGGGTTAAGTCCGGGTACTCCCACCTGTTTTAAGATATCTGACCCTCGTGGAAGAGTAGACCAAAATAACCTTTCAGGGGACTCTCTCGATCTTCCTTCAGTGGAGAGCATTCTGTCTGCTGTGGAGTGAGCAGGTCATTGCATTGCTGCGCCTTTACCATGAGCTTTGACTCTTTTGATGACCGTTCGTTCGTCCGCGGTTGATAACTGAGCAGGCCAAATCACCCTCCAGGTGGGGCTCTCCAGAGCTGCCTCTGATAGAAGCCCTTCCGCTAGCGGTGGTGTGAGCAAGCAATTCGTGGGGCTGCACCTTTAGCTTCATAATTACTCAATTATTTATTTTTAAAATTTAAGAACATTCCGATAGTCCTGATGCATGATGGAGGATCTCTTAAGTGCCAAACACTTAATTATTTAAAAATCCCTCTGTGATGTCGAGGAGTACCACTACATCATGGGTAAAAAGGTTTTTTTTTCACTTGTAAATGACCGTGCTCTTACCCGTGCCCACCAATTAGCATGAATGTAGCCATCACCGCACCGTGTGCCCATTAAAAAATACGGTCTCCGATGAAGGCACTTGTTCATAAATAGAGTGTACATTTCGTCGTTTAATACTGCACGGCCATGTGTCTCATATTAATCAATGGCCATGCAATATGGTCGGTCTCTCTTTGTATGCCAATGAAATATTTACAAGCTGTTGACATTTTAGTGACCGGTATTTTTTGTTACATCACTGCTCGAAACCATGACAATGTTTCATGTTGCTTTAAATGTAAATTAACGATTAATAGCCCGACAAGATAAATGCAACTGAAGGCAAATTCGATCTTATTGACCGACCTGAGTTGGTTAAAAAGAAAACCACGATATTTTGAAATATATTGCGTAACGTGGATCTTAAGACAATAAAGTGTCAATAACGGTAAATGATTATTCTATTTGTTTCCCGCTTGGTGAATGGCATTGGCTGTGGCCCAACGATGATGTTATACATTAAACGTACACCGAGAGAATGGCTTTGGGTTGTGGAGTGAGCTGCCCTCTAATGGGGACTAATGGACCATAATGCCTCATCCAGGGACAATTGCAGGCTCCGGAGAAGCTGCAGACGCTTTATTTTCTTGCAGAGGGAGGAAGTCGTTAGTCTTTAAACCGTGCAGCCAATCAAGTGACGGCTACTCTTTGATTCTATTGGGTAAAGTCACGTGACTTTACCCAATAGAACCAAAGAGTATGGATCCTTGCAGTCACGAAAGCTTTAAATCTAGAATTCAAGTGACGGCTGTCTTTCAGTGTTTAGCACAGCCTAACAGGCACACGCACACGAGGCTGGGCGGCATGGTGGCGCAGTATCATCACTTGTGCCTCATCGGCAGGAAGGGCCTCGGTTCGAGTCCCGACTTGGGCGCCTTTCTGTGAGGACTTTGTGTAATCTAGCCCCTTTTCCCGTATTCTCTGGTTTTCTCCCATAGCTACAAAAAATGCAACGTCACGATTGGTGTTGGCAAAAACATCCTAAAGCAGGACCCTTCTGAGAAAGTGTCTAAAGATTCAGTGTGGCTTTCCCGGGAAAATGAGCAATATATTCATATCCCCGTGTGCCCATGGTAAAGACTGTTGAGGAACATGCTGTTTGCATTCACCTAACGTCATTAAGGTGGGCATAGCCATCGGACAAAGGTGGTCACCACATCGCGCACTCTCAGATGCGCTTTTGTGGCCATTGGGATTGCTCTTCCTTGCGATATTAGGAAGGCACCGGAGCTACGCGCTTTTAAATAATCGAGATTGAAACCACATTTCTTTAGAACTGCTTTTTGTGTTTAGTTTGTTGTCCTTCCCCCACACCTCCGATCAGCGCGGTTGGCAACGTACTCATAATAAAGGTTTTTGGGTTAGATCGCGTTATTTATAAATGTATTGTAACCCTCCACCACCCGACACGGCCAATCAGTAAAAAAAGTGTCACGTTTACAAAGGACAAATAGTTCACTACTTTAGCCCACCGGTGTGTTGAAGAGTGAATCAACATCATTTAAAATTTGAGTACGACGTTTTGCTGGTAATTACATCCAGCTTTATCGGGCAATTCGCCAGAATGGTAAAGCCCTCGCTTGCTCCCGGTCTTAAATAGAGCAGCAGGGTGACGTCATCATTTAACTCATGATGACGTCGGGTGGTGGAGGGTTACGACACATTTATAAATAAACGCGATCTAACCCAAAAAACCTTTATTATGAATAATATTGGTCGCGAAAGCCTACGTGTTAAACTGGCTACGTACTGTGCGAAAGAAGTTCAACATGAGGGGAACACATGGATTACGTAACTAACACAGATTACACTGACATACATGAAGGTAACTTGTAGAGCAAGGAACAGACACACAATGCAGACGTCATATTATTGGCTGTCAAGGACACTAAGTAGGCTTTGGTGGCAGGGTACATTGCGAGGAAGGGTGGTGGCTGCTGGACGAGACTAGTGACGGAATGGCAGCGAAGGGAGAGGAACACGCCGAAGCGGATGACCACCGCAATTAACGATGAGATCATCCTTTTGTGCAGGAGTTTGACGGATCGTGGCAAGGCAAGACCAATAGGGATGGCGATGGCATGGGGAGGGCCTTTATCCGTGGCTGGTGATGATGATGATAAGTGCAGAGTCGTGCAGCAGGGTTAGGTCCACCTAGAGTTCAAAGTATTGACGCAGCTGTGTAATTGGGCTGAGATGACCGAAGGGAGTTTACGATGTCCGTTGCCACCGGCGTTGTTCAGGAATCGAACCCAGACGCAAGACACTCGAATGTAATCATGTGCATTACAATCCCAGCTTAGTAACTGCTATACAAAATTGACGTTTCATTTATACTGTATTGACATGTCATATATAAAAATATTTGGTTTTCTTTGCGATTGTTTGGCACTCTTGTTGAAATGTACCTTAAACTCTCAGGTTTGGTAAGTTGTGTGTGGTGTAAGGACAAGGAATAATGTTTCAGAAATTACCAGTCAGCTCGTGTTAAATTGTGCCCTGACTCATTTGTATTTGAGTTAAAATTTACGTTTCGCTTAGCATTTTGCACCACGCCAAACCTTTTGGAAGAGAAATAATGGACGGTAAATTTTGCAGACACACCCTCTCCCTCTCTGCATCTGCCACGATCGTTTTCCGTGCTTGCAAGAGTGATGTTTCTACTGTAGCCATCTCGAGACATGGTTACATATATATGGTTAGGGTTAGATAAATTGAGAGATAATAAAAAAACCCACAAAACCCCAAATTGCATCATTGTACTGTATTAGACATTTTGTGTGTAATGTTTACTTCAGAGACCTAATAATTATCACTTCACACGCATGGTGATTTATAGGTTTAACATGTTGTGAATGTTGCACGAGACGTGAAGGCAAGCACATCTGAATTCAAAGCTTTGTTACCCAACTGAATTAACAACTTGGTTCTTGAAAATGGCTTTGAGTTTAATGTAACAATATCATCCAGGAAAAAAACCCACACTCCACAGATATACACATGTTATGTAACATCATAATGTAATTATTGATGCAGCAACGCTTTAGTGAGTCCATTGGTCGCGAAAGCCTACGCGTTAAACAGTCTAATGACTATTATTCAGGAGGGTTCTGCAGGGTGTCTGTACGGTCGGTTCCTTTTTTTTAATCGAGTGTTTTGTAAGCGCACCCAGAGAACCCCACCCCAGCCCACACACACACACACAAAGCGATAACGTTCAGAGCGCCAGACAGATAGGTTAATTAACCTCCTCGTTGGACTGCCATCTCCTAGCCACTTGACAGCCCTGACGGTGCGTAAGGCATTACAAAAAAGGCAAAGATCCCCTGCATAGCCCAAATTAACTATTGGGGCAAGTGCTGCCAACGAGTAGCAAATAGGAAGGCCAACACGGCGCATGAAAGGGGTTGGTGGCCAACACCACACCCGGCCGGCTTTGTCTCCCTTAGTGCTCATGTTTACAAACTACACGAGGTACTCGTTTAATGCTCAGTCAACCTAGGTAAGGCCCAGGACAGGATGAGATATTCGTCACTGATGTTGGCTTTGAGCAGGAATCGAACTTAGATAGTCGGGTGCGCAACGTAGTGCGTTAACCACTGTGCCACCACTTCCCATAATGTGATTTCACCAGATAAGACATTGGGTGCGTACTAATTATTATACTGAAGGCACTTAAAGTCATCTGCCATACTTTATAGAAAAGTATGTCTTAAGCGAATGGCGTGCCATTTATATTAACACTGAAATAAAGCAATGAAAAGGCCTAATGCCCGTAAACAAAATAACAATTGCAAAAGTTTGATTTATGATGGGGTGTGGGAAAAATATATAATTATATATAATCCATTGAATAGAACCCAGAGGGGGTTTTCCTTTTCTTATTTTTCCAAATTCAACCAAAAGCAAATGCTTAAATAGTATTCGTTTTCCGTGGCCAGATTCGCCGGTCGCATGGCCAACCGCAAATTCACTACCGCACCTTTTGGACCGTCCGTCATCGTTGGCTTTTCAATGAAGGATGCCACGCTTTTTTGTTGTTGTTGTTGCTGTTGTAGCTTAAGGCGGTGGCAAATAAAAAAAAAGTTATAAGGCTTATCAATCAAAAGCGGCTGTCAAAAAAAGACTTGGCCCAACAACCGAAGTCAGTCGAGCGATTGATTTTTTTTTTCGGGAGGCAAGCCCCCTCCTCCTCCCCCTCCCACCCACTTCTCTCGCAGACGGGCGCGAGCCTTTCATTCTCCTTCATCCACCAGTCATCATCGGCGCGCTGGACCTCCTGAATCTTCTGCCAAATATAGCCGGGCGTATCTGCCCGTCGCGGCCGATACGGTAACGTGATATGCTGACGCGAGCGGGCGGGGAGTGATAACCGAGATGAAAGCGACCGTGAAGCGTGGGGAGGGAGGGGAGGGACGATGATGTGAAGGGGGTGGAGCGGCGTGCTGGCCGGAGGTAGGCCAGCGAGAAAACGGTTAGGCGAGGGAAGAGGGAGAGATTTCACTTAGCTCCAATTTAATCGCCATTATTAATGTATGATGGGGGTGGGGTGCGGCTTTGGGTAGGGAGGGAGAGGGGGGGGAGTCGCCGGTGGGGGCGGTGAGAGAGGACGCATTGTGACGTCGCAGCTGTCGTACTTGAGAGTGTTGGGGGATCGAGGTGCTGAACGTGCACCACGCTGTGCGCTTGGTTTCCACTGTTTTGGATTCATTTTACCGCAATTTAAATGTTCAGTGCGCTTGCTGTTTACACAGGAACGTGTCAAAATCTCCGTAGCGTCAGTCGCTTATCATAGGTTTGGTTGACTTAATCATCCGGCGTGTAGCCCTTTTCGTCAGATCTCGGAAGTAGTTAAGCAGTGGTGAGCCTACATAGCGCTTCGAAACAGATGGCGATATGGGCTGTGGGGCTATGTACCCACACGCACCCACATTCACCAACGCGCACTGATCAGCGTGAAGTACGGACAAACGACCTCCATGATCCGCACCGGGCGTGAGGAGGGCCCTCATCCAGCGGTGGATTGACGCACGTGCTCGCCACGTGATCTTGCCGGGCTGTGTGTCTCGACTCGTAGCGATAGGATGGGGTTAGCGTTTAAGACGTCATCAATGCTGGCTTTCCTGTTATGTCGCATTACGTATGGACACAATTAAAATCATATATATTTTTTGTAATATATAAAAACCTATCCTATTTTTGTAGTGATATTTTTGTAATGATATTTAATAGAGTAAACATTAAGACATATGCTTGCAGTGGAAATGCAAGCATGAATGGAAAATTTCTTACACTCATGTATTTTACTGCTTTTTAACAGAAAACAATATCTACTGCCGTGGATAATGCTGCTCATTTGGCCTTTAGTATAATAGAACAGCAACGACATGAGAGAATACGTTTATATATAACCTTTCACTTTTAAAATAGCCATGGCCTGAAACCGTAGCACATATGGTGGCTCAAAAGTCAAGCCACATAGGGTTATATATTATTATTTTAAGAAATCACAGATGTGGAATTAACTTAATGTTAACAAGTGTTCAAACATAATATAGGTTGTTTTTGGGTTAGATCGCGTAAATGTAAATGTGTCGTTAAACCCGCCAACACCCGACATAGCCAACTAGTAAGGTTTGTCACGTAAACAGAACATGCCAATTCGTTAATAGTACAGCACACCGGTGTGTTGGAGAGCAAATCCACAACATAGAAATGTTGTGGATTCGCAACATTTAAATGTTGTGGCGGGTTTAACGACACATTTATGCAATCTAATCCAACAAACGAATATGATGGACAATGATGTGTTGTTTAAATTCACTTAGGGTTCTTGGTCGAGTTTTGTGAACGACGGAGTTGAGGTGACCCCACAAGAAGAAGAAATAATAGATTGTATTAATAATGGATCAAATAATATCTTACAGAATGAACAATACAATTGTGTTAATGTCGGTGTAAAACATAAATAAATAAATAAGCATATGTGTCCTGACTCTTGGACCACCCTGTACATATGTGTACATATATTACAGTTTATGCTGCAAATGAAGACAGGTGGATTATTACATTGCAATATCATGATATATGGGGAAGGGGGTGACTTGATGAAGCCTTCAAGCAGCAGTGGATTGATCGTGGCTGAAGATGACTTAATGAAGCTAGCGGTGTTGTGTTCTTCATTCTGTATAAATGTGTGCGCGTCGTGCAGCTCATTATGTCACCATCATTGGCCGCTGGATGAAGGCCCCTCCGCAAGCTGCAGATATCAAGGTCAGGAAATAAAGGGGGTGGACCGGAGCAGGTTTTTTTGAGCGCTTTTCTACTGGATAATGAAGCGCTTTTACTTTCTATAGGGTATAAGCCAAAATGTGAGGGCACACACGTGCGTTTTAGATACGTTTTGGGATTTACGAGCCCCCTTCATTCTAAATCTTGACACGGAGTGTATATATGTATTTTGATTTTTTCACAAGTGATTATAGACTACAAAATGTTTTTGCTGCAACCTTGGTAAGGCTTTTTTTAAAGCCTATCAATCAAAGCTGGGCCTCCCAGGAGGCTGGTACAGTAAACCCTTCCGCACTCTGTCCGTGGGAGCTCTTGAATTCCTGACCCAATGAAAGGCAAGGAAGGTGGTCACTTTGTCCATAAAATAGTCAATTATTTATATCCCTGATGTTATTTGCAGACAACAATTGGCAGCCCGTCAATACTAAAAATGCTTCTTTTTTCGCTGGGTCAATAACCATGCTTTCCGCGATTATTTGACGAGGGCAGGGTTGTTATTTTTTGCTGTTGTTAAGCTTGAAAAATCCGGTACTCAAATTTAATGAGGACAAAAGGCCACACACACACTCCAAAGTGAGCCACTCAGAGTACGGTGAATGAATGGAATGTCGGGAGCAAAGTCAAACAGATTTGACATCCAGGGACATTTTCCGATCGGCTGCTGTTTCATTGCTTTGGGCAATGTGATTTTGGATCCATACATGTGGGGCCACATTGTCAGCAGAGGGCAGTGTAAAATAAAAATACACTGTTGTACTGTACTACGGTCCATCATCTATGCTTAGCTTATAAACCCACACTGGCAAGCATGGCGAAGTGTGGTCAAATAATCCCCACGGTCCGCCATGGTGTGGGAAGGCCTTCGTCCAGCAAGCGGCATGATAAAAGGGCTGAATATACGTACAATACATGTGGGAAATTGATAAATTGTTCCTACTTTGAACTGGTACGAGTGTCCGTTGTTTATTTTATCCCAGCCCAGTCGAACCCCGGTGACCTGCAATTGATTCACGGGTGATGCACATCAGTGGCGAGCCGCAACAGCACCGTGACTGTCCGCCTTCCCTCGGCCGACTCCGCCTCAAGTGAATATTGGTGCGGCGTGCATACATCAGCGGCGGCGAAACGGAGGTGGCCGGGTGGTAACGCTGGCCACGTGTGCTGTGCTGGTGGCTGTTAGGTGCCTTATAACCAGCTCTTGTGTGTACGTTCTGCGAGGATGAATCAGCGGTATTTGTTTCGTAATTTTATCTCACGTCTCCCTGTGCTATGGAGGCATTTGTATGAATGGGCTCTCAGATGAATCTAGATGAAAGTGTAATTGATTTTAACATGTAAGTGGAGCACTCTGTCCTTTGTTTATAATGACAAACACAGTGTACACACACCTTGGTGAATCTGCTGCTCCTGCATGAAGGCATCCCCACATTGTCAGTCAAACCCGGTGTGCTTGCCTACCGTGCTACCGCTCCCCTAAAGTTGTTTGAACTTGAATTTCCATAACAACACTCCGTTCTCGGCTAAAGTGGATGAACTATTATTATGAATACATATTTAATTGGTCATTCAAATCGTTGTGATAAAAAATGCAAACTCGTCCTCCCCCCCCCCACCAATCATTAGTCCGAGGCTCATTTCACGCACAGGTGATAAAATCAAATACATTAATTTATGTTAAGTGTGCTATATAAAATGTTAAAGCAATGTTGAATGCTAAAGCAATGTTAAGGCAATGTGCGTTGGTTTGTGTGCATGCATGTAATATTCCACTCTCAGAACTTATTGACTGTCCACTATATATATATCTTTATATATATATAGATTTCCTTTATTGAATTTAAATGAAAGTGCATTGAGATGACATTTCTCTTTTTCAAGGTTGACACATATAGTGTAAATATATAACCTGGATGTGTCCCCCGCACATACCACACTCATAAATATACTGGCTATGTGCGTGGGCAAGATATTTACAAATATCTGTGTGCTCTCTCACTCAGTCTGACTTTCTGCTGGCTTGGATTCATTGGTGTCTGCGCCCATATTGGCCCAAATTCCTCTTATGTCCCCCCCCCACCCCCCCAACTGGTTTGTAATCCCTCGACGCATAACTGTGCATGCTTCAGAAGCAATCCAATAATGCACGCTATTCAGACTCACTCCACCGAGCTTTAATTATTGCCAATCAATCAAATGCACTGTATGCATGGAACGACCCAGCTTTGGGTTGGCTACATGATCATAATTATTATTTATGCAACAACTAATGTAATGGAAGTGAACCCAAAACAAAGTAGTGGACACATTTGTATTGTTATTGGTCTTATGTGAGCAGTGTTCGCGCAAGTCGAAGTTGTGGCTGATTATTTAGCGAAATGCCTTGTGAGAACGTGAGTTTAAACTCACGTAGGTTTTGACTCACACGGACACACCATCCGCACAGTTTGAAATGCAGACGTTTTAGATCATTTGCCTACTGGCTGCAATGCGTACACGATGATGCACGGTCGCACACTGATTTAGCGGCCAGGTTAAATTTACATCCCAAAATTTGCCCTGCATCGCTGATGAGCAGCACACTGATTATTGCCTTTCACGTTTTACATGTTTTGAATGGAAAGTTATTCCTTCATATTAACTGAATACAAGATTAACAATGCTCCCCTCCCTCCCTCCCTCCCCTCCCTCCCCTCCCTCCCTCCCTCCCTTCCTCCCTCCCACCCACCAGCCAGTAAAACTTTTCAATAAAAAAATATGTATGAATGGCACAAAATACAATGAAACTCGCTACAGGAATTGTCGAGCATGATTCAACAATTATCACGATGCATGAGACCATTTACAAGATAAAGTAAATATTCGTTAAGAGTAATTGGAAATCGCATTTGACACGTTCTGTCATGAGATTGTTTAATGTGAATTAAAAATATGTTTTCTTTTATATAAAATCTCCTTTCAATATAAAAATTTAACCGTACATTTCAGTTGTAAATGCAAATCTCATATTTTGGTTATCTAGAAGGTATTGAGTAAAGCTATTCTATTATTGTGACTATAACCTTCAGTTAATGCTTATTTCAGGAATGTGCAACGAGTTCTACGTTTAAAATAAAGGCATCTGTTTACAAAACAAAATCCAAAATACATGTGATTCCTTGCATATCTTACTTCCAAAATAATAATATAACATTTCATGAAACCTAATTGACAACATATGATCGTAGTTGCTCTTTTAGGTAAAAAAAGTATGATATTCATATTGTTGTGAACAGCAGCTGGATTTAAGGCTAGGAAAGTAAAACCGGCACAGCTGCGAGAAAGCCGATGCATTAACAACACTTTGGTTTAACATGAATACATTGCCCATAAGAAGTGAATGACAATACCACAATCAAATAACTCTACACTTGCTCCATTGCGAGAGGGCACTTGATACGCTAACTTTCCATTGAAATGAGAGCTCACTTGATACACCGGTTCACCCTGCTCATGTTCATGCAAATATTATTTTTAAAATGTATTTGTTCTCAGTTACGTCTGAAGTAGAATGTACGGATTTTTCGCGCATCTGGGAAGCCTGCCAATGCCGATGTTACTCTAAACTCCCTTTGCGTTTGTCGGAGAGAGTGACCCCATTGCGTAAGCGCTTTTAGGAGTGGATTGAGTGAACACAATCATTACTCGCCCACCATTCGCTTACTGCTCTGAGCTGCATAAAACAGGATGCACAATTGCTGGACTATGCCACTGGATTATATATATATACATACATCTTACACCTAATGTGTGAAAATGAGACTCGGCCACTTTACACCCTTTGGTATAATTTCCCTGATGTGCCAGGTCATGCAGGTACACCCATGTCTGAATGTGCTCTCGGAGACTCGGTTCATGTATCCAATGTCAGCCGGTGCTGTGCACAATCACGGCTATGCACAATTGTATAAATGGCATGAGGCCGTGCATGGGTAATGTGTGTTGATTTGTGGTGAGTATATGCGCGCACACATACTGTACTTTTGCATATGCAGTAAAAGCAAAATAACGCGAGTTTACAGCATGGAGTAGTCAACACAAGATCATAAGATTAGCATATTGCAGATTGCATGCTTTTCTTTAACGAGTAATTTATACCGCCATTGTGCACATTGACATTGTGTTTTATATACGTATGTAGTGATTTGGCAAAAACACTTCACTATGCCTGGAATATGTGATTAAAAAAAGCAATCTGGAACACCTTATTTCGCCGGGTGTGTTTGCCTGCGCCCCAAACAGTGCATGGCATATGCAGAGGCATGCGCACACAGCAACTAAATAAACACGGTGATATTTACAGCGGAATTAAGCGATCATTTCTTCATTGTGGAACTCATTTAGATTGAACCGCGCTTGAATTTACAATATTAACACGAGCATGAATATTGCACGGTCTGCATGCATGAGACACTCATTATAAATGGCATGAGGCCATGCATGGGTAATGTGTGTGGGTGTATAAATATTTTTTATAAGTTTTGCTGATTTTATCACCCGAGCAGAGGTTAACGTTTCAGACTACGCCCATTAGAGTTAACCACCTCAGTTCCTACCCATAGGTGAATGGAGCTCAGTTTTATTTAGAAAAGTTAAGAAGCGCCAGTGAGAAGTTTACTCTTCCACTTGTAAATGGAAGCTTCCATATACATTACATGATCCAAGTCTAAACCATGCATACCAGGTTCCTTAGACAGGCTCATCCATTCACATCAGTTGGTGAATTGAATAATGTATTAGATATGCATCTCATTCATTTTAAAGCACTGATGGATCTATGAGTCGCATGAAACAAAAAGCTCGCGTAACCAACCCGCAATAGCCAGCCTAGTGGAGCATAGTCACCCAACCCCCGCACGACTGACACTTAGTGGGACCGGCTTATTTTAGCAGTGGCTTGACCAAATAGCTGTCAATTATTATAATAATACTTCCATAAGTATCACTCATTTTATATTTTCTTGTATTTACACGAATATCTACTACTTTGTGGGAAGCCAACAGTGGTGTTTTCTCCAATGTATACACCGGACACCGCTGTATGGATTTGGAACGTCCATCAGTCACTTGGTGGTGTGAAATAACATGAGTAACCGCCCCAAGCTAATTTTAGACGCACATTTTTACCGCATTTAAAATGTGCTCCGGTCTACCTCGCCAGGTACATTAGCACGGTTAGCACGGTTGGCTACGTATGGTGCGAAACAAGGTCAACATACATGCATAAATAGCCGTCCTCTAGCCTTTAAGCAAATTAAGTGAACACTTTTTCGTTCGACAAGCCCATGATTGGGTTGGCATGCGAGCCATCGTTAACACATTTTTTTTTCTTCCGGATCACCGTGCAATGATGAGCAATGAAGAGGAGGTGGGGTGGACGTACCAGGGTGCAGAAGTGATCAGGTGGACTCCCGCACGTGATGTCCGGCGGGTCGAGGCGCACCTTGGCAAACTTGGTCATGTCGGTCGCCTCGGGCTGGCACGCGTGGTACTCCCAGCCGGGTCCCTCCTCCGTGTGAACCATGCTCTTGCAATGGTCGTAGCGGTTCCTTTCGGCCGACGTGAGTGCTCCCAGAAGTACCCAGCACGCGTGTGCCGACAGCAGCGCTTGCACGCCCGGCCACATGATTCCTCGCCTTTGTCGCATGAGCCGGTAGGGAGGATCCCTCCCCCTCCTTTTTTTACACGCTTATTGTACCGTGCATTAACACGGTTAATGCTTTGCTTCGTCTTCCCCTTGTGTCTGTGTGTATATTACGATTGTTATATATAGAAATATTCCTTCTATTATAAATGTAATGTGTACTTATTATCTATACGCTGGCAGTCTTTATTGTTAATTGCAGCGACAACTTTGAAGGGGAGTCCCCCCCCCCCCCCCCTTCTATGAGAGACGCGCTGCTGTGTGTCGTCTTCGTTGCATTGCAATCCAGCAGATCTCCACTGGTTGAGCCGGCGCCGCCAGGTAAAAACCGCAGAGGAGTCGACGACCAGCGATGGTCTCGGAACGCGCACACCCCGCCGACGTGTTAAACACTTCTGGTGAGCAAAACAAAAATGCGTACACAAAATCAGACCGTCCCGTATTTCAATTGCGGTGCTCTATTGCTATCCTAAGTTATTTAGTAGTATTGACTAACTCTAGCTATTATCTTAATTATCACGAGAGACGGCTGTTTTGTTGTAACGATATAAAACGATGTTAGTCCCGCGCTACGCCTTGCTTGGTTTAAGAGATCATCGCAATTCCGAGGCGCTGTCCGTGGTCCTGAATCGGGACGCTCCGCACTGCCCTCCACTTAAAGTGAGCGCAGCCGACAGTCTTAAAAAAACACACTTCGTTAGAGCGAACTAGCACACACATACGCACGCACACAAGCACGAACGCAAGGCAGGAGTGTGCGGTAACTGCTGCCTGCCGCTACAGCTACTGCCGCTACTGACAGGGATGGGGAGGAGGTGAAATGAAACCGGGGAGGAGAGTGGGGGTGGGGGTGGAGGGCGAAGGGGTGGGGTGCTGGATGAAGAGGATGGGCTGGGAGGTCACAGCAATAGGATATAGACGTGAAGGAGAGACAGAGAGAGAGGGGCAGAGTTGCCGAGTTGGAGGAAGCTTTGCGCGCGACACTGAGCAACGCCACGGAACGCACGCGGCTCTCGCGCCAGACAGGGGCTCTCTCGGACCGCGCTCTGGCAAAATGCGCGCTCGCCGACTTCCAAGCGGAACTGCGAGAGCGTTACCGGGCACTTTGCGCAAGGGTGCGGAGAGGGTGGTGTAGGATGCAAGGGGCGGTGGAGGGAGCAGGGGAGGGTGAAGGGGGGGAGGGGTAGTGGATGAAAGGGGGCGATCCAGTCCCGGCGGGGAGTGGTGGCGCAGACGGACACAGGGAGACTTACTAATATCAACCACAGCGATTCGCTGGCTTAGGACAAGTAGATGATTGTTGCGACTTTATAAAAAAAAATCAAGCGCGTTGTATGTGAGAACTCTACGCAAGAAGAACGCCGTCTTAGCATACAATATTGTATAATACAAAAGTCAGTGTATATATGTGTATGCGCTTTTCTAGGTATATGTTATCATGTCTCCGTTGCACAACGATGTTGCATTATGTATGTACTCGAATGCATATTAATCAAGGCATCAGTGTTTTTTTCCTCGCCTCTGTGCTGTAGAACGGTTTTGTTAGGCGCGCTTCATACACTTATTGCAGTATTTAATATTAGAGTCTGCAGTGTGTGGCGTCTTCTTCCTTTAACATATGGTAGTCTTATGCAAATTATATATCAGTATCCAATCTCCTGTTCATACTGTTCGCTTATATATGCGTGTTTGTGAACTGTGGTCTTATTTTTGCGCTTCTTCCTTTAGAGAGCTTCAAAAACACCATTGAAAGGAGTACCCCCCCCCCCCTCCACCATCTTAAGAAAAACCGCACGCCGTTTGTTGTCTTGGTTGCAGTGCAAGCCGGAACTCCAATGGCTCGGCCGGCACCGGCACAGCTACGAACAGCGCAGAGGTGCCAGACGACACCGCGTATCCGCGAGAGCAACACCGCTGCTGACGTTTTGACAAAATGTTAATTGCTGTATCGTTTCGCCATTCCTATTATACAGCAGTTAACATGTATAACTGTCATCATCGATAGAGAATCAAAGCAGCAGCTGTGTTACAATTGCTTACTGCAGCCACAAGTCGTCCGGCGCTGTGCCTTGCTTGGTTTAAGAGTTGGTCGCAGTCCCGAGGCGCTGTCCGTGGTGCTGAACCACGCTCCACTTTAAGTGAGCGCAGCCGGCTCTAAAACCCCACGACAGCACACACACACACAAGAGAGCAACACCAGGTAGGCGTCTCCGGCAATGCTGCCTGCCCGCCCTCCTGTTTGCCTGTCTACCTGCTGCGACAGCTACCCCTGCTGCTGTTACTGACAGGAACGAGGAGGTGATGAAAGCAATGCCGATGGAGAGACGTGCTGGGTGTGAAGAGGATGGGCGGGGAGGTCACAGCAACAGGGTTATAGGTGTGGAGCAGATAGATAAAGAGGCGGAGTTTGTCGAGTTTGGGGACGCATAGCGCTGAGCAACAGCGCCGAACGCACGCGGCCCTTGCACCAGACAGGGGCTCTCTCGTACCGCGCTCATGGCAAAATGCGCGCTCGCAGATTCCAAAATGGAGTGGCGAGCATCACCGGGCGGGCGCGTGCGAGAATGCGGAGAGGGTGGTGTACGATGCATGGGTGGTGCAGGGAGCAGGACAGGGGAGGGGAGGGGGGTGTTAGGAAGAGGGGTGAACCAGTGGTGGGGGAGTGGTGGCGGAGACACGGAGAGACTCGCTAATACCAATCACATCGATTCGCTCGCTTGGGCCAAGCCGATTATTGTTCTGTCAGATGTGTGCCTTGACTTTATAAAAAAAAAACCAAGCGCGTCTGTTGTGAGAACTCTATAACAGCACAACCACGACATGTGCTGTGCAACACATAGGTGGTGTGCTTCTGTTGCTTTGCGCACGTGTATGGTAATACAGTATATATTTATTCATAATGCTATTGCGTGATATTTGTAGCCAACTGCATATTAAGCAATATATCAATGACACCCCTCTCCTGTAAAAAATGCTTATTTGGGCGCGTTATTATAAACTTACTGTATTATGTAACAATAACAAACATATAGAATCCTCATTTCACCTATAGCATTCTTTATACCTATATAACAGTCGTCATTATTTTATGCATACTGTTCGTTAATTGCGATACTGAATGCGATCCTCCTTGGCACTTATTCCTTTTTAAAGCTTCAGCAAAAACTTTGAAGGACGGCTGCCGTTTGTCGACTTCGTTGCATTGCGATCCACGGATGATGCAGCACGTGCAGCGAGCCCGCGTCTCCCAATGTTTATGAAGATGTGTTTGGCCAAAGAAAGCATTCACAGTCGCTCGTGTACTGCAGCGATCGACCTGCTCTTTTTGCTGGACACCCTTTAACGCCCTGCAGAAATGTAAACCCTCCGCTCGTCCCGCCATCTACAGGTGGAGAAGGGGAACTCGCATGATGATCGGAAGCGTCGTGCGCGGTTTCACTTGGAAGAACAGCAATCACTTGAAATTGCAGAACTGCCATTAGAACCCAAGAGACCTGCCTGTAGAAACTGCGACAGCTTTGCAGCTCTTCTAGATTTGAAGCTTTCGTGACTGCAAGGGTCCATACTCTTTGCTTCTATTCGGTAAAGTCACCTAGCTTTGCAGCTGCCGGCGAACCTTTTGAGGGCGCTGTTGCTGATAAGCACGGTTGGCTACGTACGGGGCGAAAACAGTTCAACGTCCAGTGCGTACAGACTTGTTGTTGAAGCCTTGTTGCCTCGTGGTCAGCCACGCGTTTGCTCTGGGCGGGGGGGGGGGGGGGGGGGGGGGGGGGGGGGGGTGTGTGGGGGGGGGGGGGGGGGGGGGTGGGGGTCCTCGACCGAGATGCAACCTAAAACATCGAGCGCTCGAGCTCGATCAGCCACCGAGGGCCCGTCGAGTACAATGCTGAAGACCGCAGTTTCAAAGACGGAGGGTTATCATGTGTGCTTGCATAGTTAGCCGAACATTTACTTAGCGACGCGGTATTTTCGTGTTACAGTGCCAGTAGATTCCATCATCGTGTTATAGTGTCAGTGATAGTACAGGAGATTCCGGAATATCGGGGGGGGGGGGGGGGTTACGTTTCTTGGAAAGTGCCGTGAAAGCCAAAACGGCCTCAAGCCTGACCTAAATCAGGGGTTAGGTTCACGGCAACCCAAAATTTCCAACCTCACAATTGAAATAAGTACTATACTGTATGCCAAATAAACTAAAAACTAAATAATGTAGATAAAAAATAAACATGTAAAAAGCCGATGCAAAATAAAATTAGTCGACAATAAATAATGTAGTGCGGTATAATAACCATATAGTGTTGCAGTGTCGGTAACAATAGATCCCCTCTGAGCCTATATCCGGTGCATTTCAGCACTGTAACACGTTGCATAACACTGACCATACGGGAATTTAAATGCAGTGCATTGGTGTGTTCTGACTTACGAACCGTTCCACTTACGAACGCTTCCACTTACGAACGGGTCTTAGGAATGAATTAGGTTCGTAAGCCGAGGGCGGCCTGTATACGTGAAGGTACACTTGCTGTTTTAGTTTAACACTGACACGAACACACGTCGGCTTTCGCGGCCAATATCATCCATAATACAGGGGTTTTTGGGTTAGATCGCGTAAATATATAAATGTGTCGTTAAACCCGCCATCAAGAAAGCTCTATGTTTTGGTATGATAGGAAAATAGTGAAGAGGGTGGCTGTGTGTATGTAGGGGAAGGTGGAGGGTGGGTGGGGAAAGGTGGTGGATACATTATGGAGAGAATCAACTACCAACCACGTGAACTCGCTCTCATTAGCCTAGCCGTTTATTGTTCCGACTTCATAAAAATAGACAGCGCCACCAGCTTGTAAAGCATCCAACAATAAGTACTGCGTGTGGAAATTTTCCATGCGAAGTTTTGATTCATATTTGCTATCCACGCATTTCAAAGTAATATATTTTTTTAATTACATCAGTAGCTTACTGCACACACTCATCAAAGTATCAATGCTATTGCTTTTAACGCATACAGCTGGACCGGTAAATGTTTACATTGTAAGTGATATTTGCCTAAAATGTCTGCATTATTAAAATGAGATGCCAAGTGGCCTTCAACGTGAGTTCTGTTTACATTCGAGTAAACAATTGCACCTGAACATAATCAACGTGTGCACATTAGGAACAATATCATTGTACAGATTTTTTTAAGTGGCGGATTTCAGCTACGCAAAGGTGTTACTCTTTACATGTGAGAAAACAATTGCATGCGAACATAACTTGTGCTCATTAGGAACATCCTAATTGTACTTCATCATTGAACCTCCTTTGCCAGTACCAAAATGTAATAATAGGGTTTTTCCCCTTTTTTTCTGGCCACAAAACTGAAACCTTTTTTTACGAGGATTCATGTCTGCATTAACCACAATACTTGCAGTCAAAATGCAAACATGAATCCTTGTAAAAAAGGTTTAAGTTTTGTGGTCAGAAAAAAGGGGAAAACCCCTATTATTCTAATTGTACTTTTTTAAGTGGCCGATTTCAGATAAACAAAGTTACATGTTCGCGTGTATTGATATTTAACAAGCAAAAAATCACCCTTCCCCCTCGACTAATGAAATAGTCAATGGAGAAATGAGGCAGCTCACGAGCCAATATATAAATATATAAATTAATCAAGCCCAAGAGCCGGGAGCACACGTGGGGCAATTACTCTTGCAGAAGAATGGAGAAACTACCGTGAACAATGTGTAGAGAATACGGCGACTGTGTTGGAGAGTAAATGCACAGATTGCGCTCAGAGTGTAAATGTTGTGGACTTGCTCTCCGACACACCGGTGTGCTGTAATCGTAACGAATTGGCATGTTCTATTTTTATATTCTTTGGGTCTTTCGGTAAAGCCACGTAGATAGAAGAAATAAAAAAAACGAAGCTCCAGCGCATGCCCCCCCCACACCTGACGCTCAACGTACAATTTTCAGACGCACAACCAATAGACAGACACGCTACTGCCACTGCCAGCGCACGTATAGGCCAACGTCACCTCGACAGAGGCCCTCGACAAGGCCTCTCTAATGGAGGGCATTCCTCCAGCAGTCACGTGCGCAATCAATTGCAGCGCCTGCGCCTTTATCTTTTACGTGACCCAATTACAATCGGCTACAAATTCGTCATCAAGACTAATCGGCTGGTACGGCTATGTGCTGTGTCGTGTACGCTGTTGCGTGTTTAGCAGGCACGCGTGCGTAATGCACTGGTGTTGGTTTACACCGCGTTTGTGCTTGTGACCGTGGGTCGCCGCGTGATTTGCTTCCGTGGCTTCGTTACCGGGGGCCAAAAATAACCCACGCGGCAGCAGCATGCGGCAGGCGAGAAGGGAGGATAGCGGGGGGGAGGGGGGAAACTAGGGCAGCCAAGCCCTTCCCTGGGAACAATTGTTCCCGCAGATGTGCGTCCGTCATGTAAAACGTGATGGTAAATCACCGCAGGGCAGTCACGCCTTCACCATCAAGACAACACATGTGGCTCAAGGGGCCTCCTTGCAAAAAAAGACTTTATTGGCTAAGTGCTCATTTTCAAAAAGACCAAATCAAAGTGTCGTCCTCCCTGAATCAGCGGTGGAAATTCCATGTTACTGTGGCGGTGGCCAGCATGCCCCTAACACGATCACGTAAACTCTCCGATGTGTGTTGTTTTCGCGTTGTGCCGCGGTGTTGTTCGGCGTGATGTGTCCGACGTTTCGCTTCACGTGAAAAAAGAACCACATGACGGACGACACACGCCACAGACCGGCATCGCGTCGCAGAGCTGTGCACTTCGTAGTAGGACAGTAAATGTTCCGTGAAGTGGTACATATGTTACCGATCCAGGAGAGATGATGCGACTGCACTCCTTGACGCAGCGATTAACTGGTTGAGATACGATTAGCTATTGCATAGCTACAGAGGTGAGCATCTAGAAACAACCCATATTGCTGGAGGTCATCGGAGGAGGTGACATGTTCCTGGTATATTTGTGAAACCGTGAGACTACAATATCTGACTGACGTGGGAAATTAATTCATAGAAATTTGAAAATATGTAGTGTTGTTTTGTTGTGGGGACAGTTGCAATGCCATCTCATGGTCTACAGGGGCAGCATTTGTGGACTTATGCGGTTTTCCAACACCCAACAATGGTATTAATGC